ACTTTTATCTTTAATTGAAAACCCTTCCTATCGAGCTGAGAACATTGTTTCAAACTCTGTGATGAGTTTGTGGTTTACCATCAAGGCCGGATTATCTAAAGGCTGAGTAGTAACCCAGGGCCCTAACAGCATTATTATTTTTGATCAATGGCTATTTCCCAAATGCCTCATTTGGTTTATTTTCCTTGAGGCGCAAAAAGTTTTGTTTGTTAAAACTCTTTCCAGCGTCAGTTATTATAATTGCTTAATGGCTTTTTTGTTAGGTTTCTTTCTAAATACATTTTATTTTTATTTCACAGTTTTAGCTATCCATCATATCTACACGCTTCTTCCTTTTCAGGTCGCGGGGGTCACTGGTGCCCATATCCAGTAGTCACTGTGTGAGAGGGGGACACCCTGGACAGGTCACAAGTACATTATTACTAGTTTGACTAAATTACTTCAGTCTGTGTAATTTGGGGCCATAATGGTTTGTAAATGTTTGCATTACAGTAGTCCCTTGGTACTTCGTGGTTAGACTTTTGCGGACTCGTTCTTTCCCGGTTTTTCAAAGTACGATTGCACACGAGAAAAAAAATTATTCAGGAGACACACGATTGTCAACTTTAATATTACTCACGTGATTGGGACAGTACAGGATACTGTACAGTAAAAAGTTAATGAAAAAATAAAATACTTCAGGCAGGCGCTGACATTTTGTAGTTTTCTCTCAATAAGCCACGCGCGCATAATGACTACATTTCCCAGAAGCCAACAGTGCCCCGCCCAGAACTCTGTTTACTTCTGCTGAAATATTCGAAGGAAAGTTTAGATCTGATCGGAAAAATTTGGTCCTTATCATAGTGACTTCAATGCCCTGCCGCACAGAACCCACCGGGAACCGGACCAGAACCGGAGTAGAACCAGACCTCCAGACTCATCGGTTGCCAGCCCACGAGGACTTCCGAGCGGGAGGCTCCATAGGTCCGGCGTTCCCTCCAGAGCCCACTGAGTCTTCCCCATCCAGATTTGGACTCAATCGGACCGCCAACTGGTCCTGTGCTGGGGGAGTGGTGGCGCAGAGGTTAGAAGTTGAGCTTGTGATCGGAAAGTCGCAGGTTCACCTCCCGGTACCGTCAACATCAAAATGTGAGTGGAAAAGGTGAAACACCCACACCTGCCTCCACCCTCATTCGCCCCACTCTGGGCCCCTGAGCAAGGCCCTTAACCCCCACCATCTGCTCCCAAAAACAGGTCTCTCTTGAAAATGAGTTCTCGTGGCTCAATGGCTCGTGGCTATTTACCTGGATAAATAAGGGTAAATGAAAAATTAAAAAAAAAAAAATCCTAAAGTCTGTCTCTCTCCAAAATGCATATCAAGGGCTGTACAGAACAGGACCAGAACTGGAGCTGAACCAGCAGGGTAGGTCTGCTGGACCAGAACCGAGTCACTGTTTCTGCAGAGCTGGTGAGTAAAATTCTGCAGCAGTTAAAACGACGTAGCTCTTGACCTTGACCTCTCTAAGTGGCTTTAAGAATCTGTTGGACTCCTGGCAAGGACCAATGCAGACATGTTCCTGTTTTTAATTTTCTACATTCGCCTTAGAATCTAGCTGTTTTTTTGTTTTTTTGTTACCTTTTCCTTTTAGCCATCCTATTTGTAAAAAAAACAAAAAAACAAAAACCTGTATTATGACTTTTTATAATTGTTTATTGTTGTTGCTGTTGTCCATTGTTGTCATCATTCTTTGTTGAAATCAGGTCTCTCTTGTAAATGAGTCCTCGAGGCTCAATGGGATTTACCTGTCTAAGTAAAGGTTGATTGATCTTTAAGAGTTTAGAACGCTGTGGGCTTCGTCGCTGCAGGGTAGATCTGCAGAACTGGAGACTGAGCTCGACCCGACCGACCGGAACCGAGCCGCTGCTTCTGCAGAGCTGGTGAGTAAAAAGGCATTACTACTCGCTCAGCTTAAAATTTTAAGTTGCGTGAATAAACATCAAGTTACCTTGAGTAATAAACTCTTGCTAAATAAACTTTTGCTTTAGAACTGTTTTGGTTTGTTGTTCCAACTCAGAAATCTATGTCAGTTCTATTTCGTGGTTTTTCACTTATCGCGGATCATAACCCCCATGATAAACGAGGGACTAGTGTACTCTGTAATGTGCTGTTGTTTTATGCATTTTACCTTGTTTTATATATATATATATA